CGCACTGTGTGCGTGATCATTGCACTAGAGGAGGATCATATTTTGTAGACAAAAATCGAAAAATCAGTTACACCAACTGTTTGTTTAGATTATTTCAAATGGTTTTGCAACATAGGAGTTATACAACATTTGTGCACTTTCAATGATTTCATCGGGGAATATACATCAATTTCAACGTTGAATAATTATTTCTTAGCTTGTTTCTACGAAAGTTCTAAAACAACAACAAACAAACAAAGTCAATCTCAAAACTTCCCGATCGCACTGAAAATCACGAATGTCTGTTAGCTTAATGGAACGCTAGTGTACCGTTCTGGGCCTGATTCCTAGCCGAGGAGGGTGACTGAAAAATTTCTGTTTGTCTACTAGCCTATGAGGAGCTGTCTATACTCGAGACCTAACGTCTGCGTTTGGAATAAAAGTACGACCCGATTTGTTCTTAAACAATTTTCAAAAATTTGAATTGCTCCAATCAGTTCTTTTTGATTTCAGTACGACGAAAAAATGGAAACGAAAGCTCCAACAAATTTCCCATTTTGGCGTGCGAAACATCTGACAGTGCTGGTTGAATGGGCGAAATCTTTTGAAGTAAGTTGAATACTCTATTTTTACTTGAAACACCGTTGTTCATTTTCAGGTATTCAGTAACCTACAACACGAAGACAAAAAACGGTTATTTATCCACACCGCGTTCTCCAATTTAGTGTTAGCTGAAGCATTTCATACACCTGAAAAGTACACAGATAGGATAGTGTTTCCAGATGGTTTAGCAGGGTATGTTGATGAAAACTCTAGAATATAGCGAATGTCACGTTTTTCAGATTTCGAAACGTGGCACAAACGGTTTCAAGTGACGGAGTCTCCACGAAGACATCTGGTCTAACGCCGACAGTTGTAGCAGTGATAAACGATGTTTTAGTACCAATTCGAAGGATGCGGCTAACAAAAGTTGAATATGTATTGCTGCAGGCAATCATCTTCTTTGATCCAGGTCAGTTCCGTGGGAAATTGAATTAAAAAAACATTGAATCTTGATTTCTTCTTGATTCCAACAGAGCACAAACTCCAATGTATTATATGAATACATTTGAGCGAGCCACCTCAAAAAAGTATTAGGATTCATTAATTACGGTGTTTATGAAAAATGACGGAAAAACAAAGCAAACGTGGATAACGAATTAAAAAAATGTTACAATAGTGAAAAAACGGAATTTCAAGACCTGACCCAGCCTAGAGACAAGGATTCAGAAAGTTTTGAAATGTTTCAAAACATTTTTGTATATTTTTGCTGCGCCTTGAAAAATTCTGACAAACCCCGGGCTGGCTCGTTTCACTTCATTAATGCTCAAAGCCAGCTACTGAAAACAATCAAGAACGTCCTAGGAGTTTAACTAATGCATGCTTTGTACAAGTTTTAAAAAAACCTGAGTTTTTCAAATGGAATTTTTAGTTTTGCAAATGAACCTTGAGAAGTTGTTTTCCGAGATAGTGAGCAAATTTCTCTTGATAATTTGTTTCTACCTGTGAAACCTGTGCTTGACTGTCATCATATACACTTTTCCAAACTAAAACCAAAAAGAAAAAAAGAAATCCGTCGAGCCGGATTCGAACCAGCGACCTAAGGATAACCACTGACTCTACAGTCCTCCGCTCTACCAACTGAGCTATCGACGGCACGTTGGTAGCGGCTGCGAGTGTCTGTTATATGACGCCCAGAGAACTGCGCCTCTCTTCTTTTTCTTTCCAGGCGGAAACGTTTATTGAAGGAAGAGAGCGAGAGACATAGAGAAACTTTTCGCCTGAAGGCAATTGGCTTCAGGATAGAAAAGTGTCTTCTTTTTTTCTCTGAAGTCCTCCAAAAACCCTAAGTTGCTGAATTTCATTTAGCGAATTATACTTTTCTAAGTCCAAACTTCCATATAGACGAATTCTTTGTCATTTATCAAATTAGTCCAGGTGGTATGACAAATCTTTTGAGGAGAAAAAGTCGATGCAGGTTAGAAAACCTAATTTCGGAACTGTTAATCAAATAATCGAGCCCACATATTGAGAAACGTGAAGAAATTACTATAAACTACGAAAATAGTTGTAAAGTCACAGAATGATGTGATAATACGAAATCGAGTGAAAATAAGAAAACAATAACAAGATAAATGAGACTGTAGCAAATCTATGAAAGTTGTTTTTGTATAGTGAGGGCACGAAAAAATGGTTAAAATTCGAAGTGGTACCAGTATCAGGAAAATTAGAACGAGGGGGGAAGGAGTCCAACAGTAAGTTAAGCTTCTGTTCAGAACCCTCATTTGGGAGACAGAAAACATTTTGTTTCGAAAAAACTTTCTTCAAATGAATTGTTTGCTTGAAAAACCACGACATTTTGGGCTGATGGTTGCGGTATAAGTGAAAAATCTTGTAATAGAAAATCACCGAATGCTTTCAAATCAGCAGATCTCGGTTGTCTTTCCAAATTACAAAAAGTAATTCACTAAAAAATCAGTCAATACATTCTGACCGTTTCATTAATTGAAACTATTTGATGATTCCGAAGGCGATCAAGATATGCTGTTCTAGACATTCCGCACTGAGGGAACCTCTACTACAGGTTTTACGGTGTTTGGAGTTGACGGCAGCCTTGATTTTGCCAGCTTGCCTGAAACAGAGCAACTAGTTTCAAATTGTAATAACTTCGAGAAGTTTTTCTTACGGAGGAATCTCATTCACTTGACATATTAACCTCACTTTTGTATTTTTCTATACCTTGGAAAAAAATGTATTCTGGATCCCCAAGCTTAACTTCTCTGAATTACCAACTTTTCCAACATTATACATATTTCCATTTTCAGATTGTCTATCCCTAACAAAACATGGTGCTCAAATCATCGCTGCGAAACGGAAACGACTTTTGGATTCCCTTCAAAGGTGGCTCCAACAACAAATCAGAGACGTTAATGAAGCATCAACCAGATTCGCGGAAATTCTCCTACGAATATGTAATGTACAGGTGAGAACCATTGTTCTTTTCTATATTTTCTTCTCAAAAATTCTGAGATTTCGGAACAAAAACACACCCACAAAAATAAGATATATTTTGTGTCATCATGTTTTTGAACATCCGAATGAACAAGCTCACTGAACCAAATCAAAACTACTCCGAACTTTTTAGAGTTACAATGATAGAAAATCAAAGTATTTTCAGAAAGTCGCGGCATTCAAAAGAGAAACACTGTGCACAATAGAAACATTCGACTTGATGCAACCCCTTCCGTTTACAATGGAGATTTCAAAGAGTTATCCCGAATTTTCATATTTTTAGTGGAAAGAAAATATTATAAAATAAATATAGCCATTTTTTTGTGATACCGTACTCTAGTCATTGTTATAATCCCACCGTTTAGTCATAAGTGTCAAATTGTATTCATTCATTTTTTTTCTCAACTACCTCAGTTTTTTGATAAATCACTGCTCACATGTCAATACCAACCTTTCTGAATCGATTCGATTTTTTCCAGCCGTGCTATCTTTTTTTCTCCATTCTTTCATGTTAGACACCATGGAATCACTTTGTTCCCAATACTCCTTTCGTGTACCCAGCTATCATATTAACGGGTTTCCTATTCTTTCGACTTTAGTTAATTTTATGTTTTCCAATTATTGTATGGTTAATTTAGAATTAAATTTTTTAGAATTTTCAACTTTTCTCTTCTCAATCCGTGCATTTTCAGATCTCTCATATATAGTCATTTGCCAAACAGAACAGATACATAACACTCCACTTTTGATACTTTATTCATTTTCTTTCTAGCGTTTTTCAATATCAGCTACCAGCTGCTGTGCCTTGTGATAAACGACACAATTGAATAAAAGGTTTCCTACGCCAAACGTTTCCGTCTTAATTTAATTCACAGGTCGTTTCAAGGCTACCGTAGTACATGACGTGCAATGCTGGAATTCAATTATTATTACGTTGGCTGGAAAACTGGGCGGAGCCAGCAAGGCCGAGCCCACTTCACGAGGCTTGAAGAGAATATTCAGTCATTCGACATTTGAGCTGTCAGCAAAGATGAACCGACAATTCCTTCTTGGTAAGTCAAATTTTGAAAAATGTTTTCAAAAGTTTAGTTTTTTTTTATTCAAACTGTTCAAAAGCCGATGATTGTGTTTGAGGAACAACTTAGGTTACGGTAGTCTCTAGAAGATGAGAAAAAGAGTAGTCTTTGTCTGTTCATCACGGATCGTGAAGGAAATTCAACAAATGCTACAGTGAATTTTTTCAGTCTTCGTCGCTATCTGCCTGCTCTCACAAAACGCAATGGCTCTGCGTGGTGCTCTTTTCCGTTCCGGACGCAGTCTTCTCCATCGTCAAAACCTGGAGCAAGAAGCCGGTCAGCCACATCTCATTCCTTCTGACAAACGCTCTCCGGTAAGTTTCAGAATTGATCTGGACAAATTTGATGGAAATTTGTACCTCTTACTTTTGTTTACTTTTCTGTTCTCAGACATTTTGTGATAACCTCTAAATTTTCAGGTCGTCGAGCTCTATCCAGTTGTGGAAAATGGAAATGTGGATCCTGAAGCAGCGTTCCGGGACTACTTCCGTCTCTAATCGGAGTGATGATTGATGCAATCGACATAGTAAAACACATAACTACCATGATAATCCCACCATGTTTCTCTGATTTATATCTTGTGTATCTTGCGCATAAAGAATAAACGGTTGTGAAGTTGTGCGTAAAAGTTAATGTTTTAAGAAATGTTGAGAATGAGCAATCAGGACAGATCTGCAATAAAACAACAACACGATTGTACTAGTGCAAAATGTAATCTTTCGTTGATTTTGTGAGAGAGCAGAGATCGAACTTAACCTGATTGAGAAATATGTTAGCTCTGAATAACTTGACACCACATGAGTTCACACCCTAACAGTGATCTTTGTAGCTGAGACTCACATATTTCTTTTATCATTCCTTACAGGAGCGCTATAAGAAAAAAACAAAATAATCTGCCCCATGCCAGGCTCGAACTGGCGACCTTGGCATACCCTATAGACTATAAGTACCACGCGCTAACCAACTGCGCCAATGGGGCATGTTCTCACAACATTATTCATGTATAAATAAATGAAACCCTTCCTCACCCTAACAGAAAAACATTAACACTGGAGTGTTTGTGACATTTATCATATTTAGCATGTAGTCATTGCGAATTTTTTCATTCAAAGGGCGAGATATGACTTTCCGGGCATTTTTGTTAAACTTAACATACATATATGGAATTTCTTTTGAGTAACTGGAAAACAATTGAATTGTCGTATCTTCCTTATACTACCGTGCCCAATTTTCTAGCTGAATGCGATTTGGTGGAATGAACCGAACTGACGACTTGAGCGGATAACGGAAATCAATAGAAATATAATTTGACTGTCAAACAGTGAAAACTTCATATTCCAGGTCCATATAACCTCAATACACCATAATGCAAAACACTCTTTGCAAAAAATGCACCGATACTTAAAACAAAAAAAAAGAAAAAAAATCTGCCCCATGCCAGGCTCGAACTGGCGACCTTGGCATACCCTATAGACTATAAGTACCACGCGCTAACCAACTGCGCCAATGGGGCCTATTTACACAACACGTAACAGGTCATAATCAAATTGACCTCCCTCCCCTCCCCCCCCCTCACTCTCGCTCACTGTACGAGAAAAAAATTTGCATCAGTGTGTTGGTGGCCTTTACTACGTTCAGAGAACTCATTGTGTAATGTTTCAATTTCTGAGGGAGGAAAATAATTCGAGAAAGTTTGGAAGAGAGAAACGCACTTCGAAAAGGTAAATTAATTGGAAAATGAGAATAATCGAAGCATTTTGCTACTAACGTGGAGCAGCCTGGGAGGAATACCGGTTTTTGAGCATCTTGATATTGACAAAACACAAAACCTGAAATTAACATTTCCGTATCTTGTCAAGGAGTTGTATCCTATTTTAAAACTCAAAATATAGCGTTGCGTAGATTTCAGAATATTTCGAAAAAAAAATGTACGTTGCATTTGAAAGATAATGTAATTGATCGCAACAAGAAGATTTCAGATCAAACTCTAACTTTTAACAGAAATGCATAAGTTGAAGAGTCTTCCTTTTCATATTCTAATGAAACAGGCAGTCTCAATCTGAACTGTTGTTAGAGAGAGAATTTAATCATTTCCGACATTTAAAAAAGTGGTTATTTATGTTAATTTCCGCAGTCAAATGCTGTGCTACTGAAATAAGATATTCTCAGAAATCCCTTTACCCGAATTCAGAGCTATATTCATTCTGAAAGAGATTGAAATGTCTGAACTTTGTTGTTTCCCTCAGTACTTACTGTGAACACGGAAATTCATTAACTGAACTTATTTTTTAAAGATTTCTTTGTTATCCCAACAATTTTCACCTCACATGCATCAACCCCAAATCTAAAAAAAGTAAAAACTATCTGCCCCATGCCAGGCTCGAACTGGCGACCTTGGCATAACCTATAGACTATAAGTACCACGCGCTAACCGACTGCGCCAATGGGGCATATTGACACAACACGTCTTATGCAATAAACAAGACGAATGAGATCCCGACCAACAAAAAACACATCGCAATGGGCGGGGGAGACCACACAGAGGGACGATTAAAATGGAACGCGCGAGACACTGAGAAAAGAGAAAATGACACATATACTTGCCCTTCATTTTTCTTTTTCATTGAGAAGGAAGAATCTTAACTTCACGTTCTCATAATTATTTTGGTCCGAGAAATGTTTGGCAACATTGTCGTAATAGTTTGTCTCTAGACAATGAGCTTGCGACAAGGCCAAACGTTCTAGATGGACATGTCAACACACGCTGCGATTTTAATTAAAAATTGTTATCTGCTCCATCTGTGACAAGAAACTGACAGGTTGCAATCTCTGTTCGGAGAGTGATAACAAAAAGTTTAGAGATGATCTTTTGATGTCTTCTGATCAAGATGGGCGGAGAAATCAACAACACATTATTCGTAGTAAAGTTTTAAAGCAAAAAAACAAAAATGAAACTCAAGATTATTGTAGTTAGGTTTCTATGAAGATGAAAGTTAGAGAATCAAGAAAACATGTGATTTCTCATGAAAAAATGAAATCGAAGGGCCTAACCTATGATCCGGCACTTTGTGAAACAGAGCCCAGAAATGCTTGGGACAGCTATGAATATCCAAAAAACTAAAACTATATTCGTTTATTCAGTTTCAGATACCTTCTGAAGAAAAACATACTGATCCAATTGTTTTGAACTTCCTGGCTTGCCAAGTTAATGAAAAGTGACTCAATTTTCTTGAGTTTTGTTAGATTAGTTTTTCTAGCCACCAACTGGTATATTTCCCAGAGTTCAGAAGTACACTTTTGTAGGAGTACGGTATTCATCTTTTTCCGAAACCATAAAAACATGTTATTCTCATCGAAACCTTTGTCTACGAAAATTTTTCTCCGTTTTTCCCACATTAATGTCATCTCTTTATTCACAATTTGAAGGCAGGCGTTGTTGACCGCGAAAAACTTTTTGAAAACGGTAGAAAACTGAAATGTCAAGGTCAATGCCTCTGCTCTTTCATCACGAGATGACCAAATAAAGAAATTTTGAACAAACTTTTTTGAGAAATGCTGCGTGTTGTGAGGTTTATTTGGAAGAATAAAATAATATATGACCGATTCCCAATAATTTTTCAAAGCTGGAGAAGAACAATAAAAGGTAAAAAAGCACAGAGAATTGGTTTGGGTATTTAGAAAGCGGAGTGAACGATAAGGATTATAATTGAGAGTATTACAGTGGAAAAAGCGGCGGGTTATGGACATATGGGACATTTGCAAAAAGCATGGAGTTACGAAATTCAGTTTCAATTTAACTGTAATATTCGCGAATGTCATCGTGTTCTTGGTGGCTGCACGATGGAGTGCCAGAAGTGATGAGAATTGGACGTCCAGTGTAAGAGATGCCATCCTCCAGAAGGTATCCGAAGATTTGGTTGTCCCCGTACTTTCCATCAGTCATTGCCAAGAAAGTATTTCTTCCGCTCTCACGATGTTGGTAAACGAGATCTCGAGTGATTTCGTACATGAAGAGAGCGTTGATGAGGAAAGTGACGTAGTTGTAGAGGTCTTGACGGACCTGCCGGCTTCCATGAGTCAAGTTTCGGTTGACTTGGGCCTCGCAGATTTCAGTCATCAAGAAGATGTCGATTGCGTTGGCCTTGTGGTACAAAGCATCCAAGATTTTGTAGCGGTATGGATTCCCGGTCTCTTCAATGGTCCGCTTGAGGATTTCAGCGGTCTCGTAGTAGTCACGGACAACACGGTCAAAATCAATGCGCTTGGTTCCTGTCACATTTCTATTGTAGACAAATTTGGTGTGGAGACGTTGAATCCAACACTTGATATGGGTCTCCTCAACTTGCCCAAGGCTAGTTTCCATTGGTCCACGATCAGTTTTGAAGCTTCCTTTCTGAGCGTAGCTCTCTAAAAAATTTATCTCATTTTAGGATGTTCCGACTACTGATTTCACCTGGGCAGATGCGAGTCTTGCACAGAGAGTTGATGTAACGGTTGTTCATGAACGGATAGGCAAAGTTTTGGATCCAACGAAGACCGACCAACTCCGGCTGAAAAAATAATACCATATTCCATCTCTTCTTCATTTTCCCAGAAGTGTTTACGCAACACATTTTTCTGTATTTTTTAAGGCGGTTCATCAAAGCCAAAAGTCGCACCAAAAAACTAATTACCGGCAGCTCCCAAAGGGGGAGGAGAGACTTGCGCAAGGTGCCCTCCGCTTTGTAGCTAAAGCGCGTTGTGAAACCATACACAGATCAAGGCTCCGCCCCTAATCGTAACTCTTATTACGCCTAAGTTATTCATTTTTTGTCATTCGGTGTTCTAACTTTTGAGATGCGGTTCGAGGCACACCGCTCTTCCGTTTTTTGTTATATCTCACTACTTTGTTACGAGATTTTCAGTACCGCTTATGGTTTATATGAACTGTTTTACGTTGTTTGGAAGATGACGTTGTTCTAGGGTCGGATATGTAAATCGTTTGAGCACCTATCGTCTTCAAAAACAAACGATTTGTGGGGGAAAAATAACATAATAGGAAGGTAGGACCCGTGACATTGTGGCTTTCTCACTCACCGACATTTCCAAAGTCAACTCGTAGTACTTCTTGAGATCGATATTCTCGAACTCGGAGTTGTTGACTGTGCCCTTCTTGGCATGCTTGAGGAATTGCTTCTCTAAGCTTTTCTTCTGAAAACAATCTTTTTCGAAGTTTTAAAGGGGTATTGACTGACGGGGTCCGTAGCATTCATAGTTTTCCTGCCCATATCTTGAAGGGCTTCCTCCACCGGAGTAGCAACGATTGGTCGAGAACGCATGTTTTCCACCTGAAAACTTCTATGAAGTTTTGACGCTTTCAAAAAATCAAAAATGGGAGAATAAGCAAAAAATACCACATAATATCTATAGTTTCAGTTTTACAACCATGGGAAAATATGAGAAAAGCATCGGGAGGGCTTCCTTCTCGGTCGCTTTTTCTTCACTTATTCACCCTTTTTAGCTTTCTTTTCCTCCTTTTTGTGTGTATCAAGAACTATTTTACCAAAATCTGGAGGAGCAATAGGAACTGATATTGAGTGGAAGTGCACATAATACAATGACATAGAGCCATTTATTCTTTTTGAAACTGTCACTAGAAACCTAAGGGATGCCTATAAATTATAGTGAAATGCAGATAGAAAACTGTAAAAAAAAAAGAAATGAGTGCTAGAAAGAGCGTGAGAGCTCAAGAATGAGGACTGACGATTCTCTATCTATGGGTTTCATTGCTCGAAACTGTAGCCACTTTCAGCTAATCACGTGTCAAAAATGTGTGCGGCAACCGTATTTTTTCTTATAGAATGTATGTTTTGAATAGGCGCTACTCTAAAGGGAAGTATACAGGCTATAAACCATATTTTCAGGTAATAATGCTTCTACTCGTTCCCAAAGTGAAGCCCATGCAAGTTCCGATTCCACCGGACAATCTCCAAACTGAGT